CCTCCAAATAACCTTCCTTGATCAAACAAAGGTTAGTTAACTCCTCTTTGACTTTGACTTATTTTCCCCAGACGTCCAAACGTCATGTCGCTGAGAAACGTCCCACTGTGCATATTTTTGGTTGTGTCCCTGAGTCACCTTCCCAAGAAAGTCAAGAGACCTCGTGAAGTGGCCGATGTGGACGAGAAAATCATACTAATATACGATTTCTGTGGCCCCGAACAAAAACGGAATTGGTGGCGTAGGAGAATGATATGTGTATAAACTTCTTCACTATGTAAATTCATTTTTTTCCTTTTCATTCGAAGTTAATTTTAGCTCAAGGTAGTATCCACTTTACCAAACCGATGCTGTATTTTTATTCAGTGATAGTAATGATATTAATAATGATAATATCAATAATAACAAGAATAATGGCCTGTCATCTATCACATATCGCCAATCACCTGTTAGAATGGCCGTGATCGTCTGTTGGTGCCCCACTCTTTGACACATTGGCCTCCACCTTCCCCGGTGTCCATTTTGATGTTTTATTCCATGAAGTAGTACGTAGTCTAAACAGCCGTAAGCACTGCTCACAGCCGAAAGCTCCGTATCCCGGACTCTAGCATGTAGATCATCAGGAGAGTATGCGTCGCTGTTTCGGGCTCTTCCTCTCTACAGTTTTTCTGACGCACCGAGAAGTAGTAGACCACTGCTGAATTTACTTTTTCGATATGTGATGTGAGAGGTCTTCCTTTATTACTTTGCTTCCAAGGAAATTGTTTATTCCTCCCAGCCTGACTTGGCCCAGTGACAAAAATATGTTATGCTTGACCCATGATAAGAGATATGATGTCCACAACCTGCACTTTTTCATTATGGAAACTTTATTTAACAAATGAGCGTTTTTCTGTGATGTGGTGTGGGCCAATGGACTTAAACACTGAAAAAAACTTACTTCTATTTTCCAAATAGCATAATAAACATCCGGTCTTTTTTATGTTTCTGTTTGTATGATCAAGGTATTTCAATCTCTTTTATAATGATGATGATAATAACAATAATGATAATAATATACAATAAT